TTGTTTCTGTGGCCCTAACTCTGTCCCTGTCCCTAGTACAGAGCGGTCTGCCTCTGTTCAATGACTGCAGGCAAATGAAGATTTCCAAAATGGCCGCTATATATACCTCGACCATTACACAGTGCTGGGCTGGCTGGGCTGCTGATTGGCTGATTGCGATCACATGTCGTTGAGGAATGCATTATGGGGCAGCGCGGCCTTGTCTGCGCGCCTTCCCCGACATCCCCGCTCCGTCGCCGCACATGTCAGCCGCCATTTTCGGAAAAATTTCGATTCGCGCGTACCCGAATTAGGCTGTTTTTCGGATTCGGCACGAATCGAAATTTTTCCGAAATTCGACTCGAATTCCACTTCGGATACTTCGATTCGCTCATCTCTAATGAGGATGATAACCAATCATCCACCATAAAGACAACCGAGTGGAACAACAAACTCAATGAACAGTAGGAAAACTTTGACTTACAGCTAAGGTGGTACAATACAAACGAATACTAGGGTGAAGGACAAAGTCTAGGATACCTAACCCTTGACTTCAGGGAAAGAATGGTTGAATAAGGTACACCAAGACCAAAATACCGACCAGTTAACAACCAGAGACTTAAGCAGAACATCCTTAACCCTTCAGGAAGAGGGAGATCCATATACAGTATGAAATATGCTACCTGATAAATAAGTAATCTCTTCAAGAGATAAGCAGCAAATCTAAAAGGAGATAGGGAAGAAAATCCTTATGCTGGAAAAAAAGAAAAGTGGTATCTTAAATCCCTTTAATGAAAGGGTGAAGTGATCTACAACATATTTATAAAAGGGTAGGCAGGATGAGGAAAATTGTAAAGCAAATTGGCATACAAGGACATCAAGACCAGATGAGGAGGAGTCCTTCCAAACTTATACTTAATTAACCCATACTTAAAGGTGTTTCAGGGGTATGGTAGCCACACTACAACCTGCCTGATCAAATATTAATCAAATAGAAAGTAAAAAGAGTATTTCTCTCTAAAAGTAACTAAGTCCCTCAAAAGGCATCTGGACTTGGGGGAACTCTGCAGCCAGGAAACATATTGTCCTGTCTGCTGACCTTCCAGAAAAGTACAAGACTTAGGCCCCTTTCAGACAGGGTGGACATGTCAGCAGATCTGCTTGCTCAGTGGGGGATCTCTCTTTGGTCTGCCTGAAAACTGACAGGCAGACCCAATCGGACCGTCAGTGTGAAAGGGGCCTTATGAAGATGGATACTTCCTTGCAAGGAAGAAAAGAAGTGCACTTACATGCAGGACCCTCTCTGTTAAAAGTGGAAATAAAATAAAGGGATTTGAAAACAATATTTTGTTGAAGAAAACAGCATGGACACAACTCTCACATCCAAATCTGTCCAACATAGGAAGTCAGTTACCAAGTCAGTCGAGGGGGAGTTCTCAAGAATGTTTCCGAACTTCATAGAGGAAGGTTCTAAACACTGTGTGTATATAGTAAAGGTATTTGCAGCTGTAATAGTTCTAAAACACTCTATGCTTGGAACAGCAGGCCAATCCTTCAACTGCAGGGTAAAATGCACTGCACCAATCAGGTTAGAAACAATACTTTGCAAATCTGAGCCATATGAAACTTGCTCAACATATGCTCTTCAAGAGTAGACTGTGAGGTCTCTGAACTATTTTGTTCTTCAAGCAATATACCTAGACATGAGCGAATTATTCAAAAATTCGATTCGGCTGATTCGGCGAATTCGAGGAATAAATTCGATTCGAGGCGAATATATTCGCTGCGAAATTAACTTATAAAAAGGGTGTTTCTAGGCTTCAGAGAGCCTTTATATTAGTGCAGAACACTGTACCCTTAATTTAAATGCCCTTGGAGTCTGCTGGGGAAGAGAAATAATACTGTCAGTCAGTATGACATGCAGATGAGTGCCGTCGATCTTAGAATCACCGCACACTTCACTCATTTGGGCAGTCACGGGGCCAAAACCAGAGTGTGGAGCCACAGTGTGGCGGTGGAGGCAGCAGCAATGGGAGGCCATACAGCACCCTATGACAAAATGGAACCCACCAGCAGTGTGAGGAGACCTGAAAGTGGCACATGGCAGAGTGTGGCGATGGAGACAGCAGCAATGGGAGGCCGTACAGGGACCCATGAGACACTCTGGACCTGGCAGCAGCATGAGGAGGCGGTACAGGGGCCCATGACAGATTACGGGCCTGGCAGCAGCATGAGGAGTCGGTACGGGGGCCCATGGCAGATTACGGGCCTGGGCAGCAGCAATGGGAGGCCTGTAATCTGCCAGCACCCTATGACAAAATGGAACCCCACCAGCAGTGTGAGGAGACCTGAAAGTGGCACATGGCAGAGTGTGGCGATGGAGACAGCAGCAATGGGAGGCCGTACAGGGACCCATGAGACACTCTGGAACCTGGCAGCAGCATGAGAGGAGGCGGTATGGGGGCCCATGGCAGATTACGGGCCTGGCAGCAGCAAATGGGAGGCCCGTAATCTGCCAGCACCCTATGACAAAATGGAACCCACCAGCAGTGTGAGGAGACCTGAAAGTGGCACATGGCAGAGTGTGGCGATGGAGACAGCAGCAATGGGAGGCCGTACAGGGACCCATGAGACACTCTGGACCTGGCAGCAGCATGATGAGGAGTCGGTACGGGGGCCCATGGCAGATTACGGGCCTGGCAGCAGCAATGGGAGGCCCGTAATCTGCCAGCACCCTATGACAAAATGGAACCCACCAGCAGTGTGTGAGGAGACCTGAAAGTGGCACATGGCAGAGTGTGGCGATGGAGACAGCAGCAATGGGAGGCCGTACAGGGACCCATGAGAGACTCTGGACCTGGCAGCAGCATGAGGAGGCGGTACAGGGGCCCATGACAGATTACGGGCCTGGCAGCAGCATGAGGAGTCGGTACGGGGGCCCATGGCAGATTACGGGCCTGGCAGCAGCAATGGGAGGCCCGTAATCTGCCAGCACCCTATGACAAAATGGAACCCACCAGCAGTGTGAGGAGACCTGAAAGTGGCACATGGCAGAGTGTGGCGATGGAGACAGCAGCAATGGGAGGCCGTACAGGGACCCATGAGACACTCTGGACCTGGCAGCAGCATGAGGAGGCGGTACGGGGGCCCATGGCAGATTACGGGCCTGGCAGCAGCAATGGGAGGCCCGTAATCTGCCAGCACCCTATGACAAAAAATGGAACCCACCAGCAGTGTGAGGAGACCTGAAAGTGGCACACATGGCAGAGTGTGGCGATGGAGACAGCAGCAATGGGAGGCCGTACAGGGACCCATGAGACACTCTGGACCTGGCAGCAGCATGCATGAGGAGGCGGTACAGGGGGGCCCATGCAGATTACGGGCCTGGCAGCAGCAATGGGAGGCCCGTAATCTGCCAGCACCCTATGACAAAATGGAACACACCAGCAGTGTGTGAGGAGACCTGAAAGTGGCACATGGCAGAGTGTGGCGATGGAGACAGCAGCAATGGGAGGCCGTACAGGGACCCATGAGACACTCTCTGGACCTGGCAGCAGCATGAGGAGGCGGTACAGGGGCCCATGACAGATTACGGGCCTGGCAGCAGCATGAGGAGTCGGTACGGGGGCCCATGGCAGATTACGGGCCTGGCAGCAGCAATGGGAGGCCCGTAATCTGCCAGCACCCTATGATGACAAAATGGAACCCACCAGCAGTGTGAGGAGACCTGAAAGTGGCACATGGCAGAGTGTGGCGATGGAGACAGCAGCAATGGGAGGCCGTACAGGGACCCATGAGACACTCTGGACCTGGCAGCAGCATGAGGAGGCGGTACAGGGGCCCATGGTAGAGACTACGGGGGCAGCAGCATGAGGAGTCGGTACGGGGGCCCATGGCAGATTACGGCCTGGCAGCAGCAATGGGAGGCCCGTAATCTGCCAGCACCCTATGACAAAATGGAACCCACCAGCAGTGTGAGGAGACCTGAAAGTGGCACATGGCAGAGTGTGGCGATGGAGACAGCAGCAATGGGACAGGACCGTACAGGACCTACAGGACCCATGAGACACTCTGGACCTGGCAGCAGCATGAGGAGGCGGTACGGGGGCCCATGGCAGATTACGGGGCCTGGCAGCAGCAGCATGGGAGGCCCGTAATCTGCCAGCACCCTATGACAAAATGGAACCCACCAGCAGTGTGAGGAGACCTGAAAGTGGCACATGGCAGAGTGTGGCGATGGAGACAGCAGCAATGGGAGGCCGTACAGGGACCCATGACACACTCTGGACCTGGCAGCAGCAAGAGGAGCGGTACAGGGGCCATGGCAGAGTGGCGAAGCGTAAGCAGCTTAAATTGAAGGCCATACAGAGGCCTATGTTAAAAATAATAACATGTTTGGGGCATGATTCATGGCGGATTTAGTCAGTTGTGTCAGGAACTGGTGGTTTGAAATCCAGACTAATCCACGCCTGATTCATTTTCACAAACGTGAGTCTCTCCACACTTTGGGTGGACAGTCGTGTCCTCCGCGGAGTTACAATACCTCCTGCCGCACTAAACACGCGCTCCGATGCCACGCTACTGGCCGGGCATGACAGCCTTTCAAGGGCAAATTCAGCTAGTTGGGGCCAAAGGTCAAGTTTCGTTGCCCAGTAGTCAAGGGGATTGTCTACCTCGGTTGGCAGGGTGTGCTGTCCAAGTAGGCCCAAGCCTGTTGTTTGAGGTCCTGCTCTCAGGTCCACCTGATGCTGCTGCTGCTGCGGCTGGTTAGGTAGTTTTCCTCACTGCGCTGGTGAAGAAAGCTACTCATCATCGACTGCAGACTGAGGCAGCCGCTGCTGGTGGAGCTGCCACTGCTCCTACCACCCCCCACCCCTCCCCTGCTGCCCATGGCAGCGGAACGCGAGCGCACAGGGCCCACAGTGTCTGAGGATGGACGTTGGCGCAGAAAGGCAGAGACCAACTGACTACATAGGTGGTTTTTATAGTACGTTATTTTGGCCTCCCTCTCAGCAGGTGTGAAAAAGGCCACCATTTTTGAACGGTAGCGAGGGTCCAACAAGGTGGACAGCCAAAAGTCATCCCTCTGTCTGATGGTTATTATTCGGCTGTCGCTACGCAAGCAACCGAGCATGCTATGGGCCATTTGTGCCAAGGAATGCGAGGGACTCCCTGCCTCCATCTCCACAGCATACTGCCACGGTGCGTCTGGGTCCTCTGTCTCCTCCTCCTCCTCCTCCTCTACCAGATGCTCCTGCTCCTCCACTCCTGTCCGCTGAGTGGAAAAACCACCCATTTCACTCAATAATTCCTGAGCACCAATGTCCTCCTCTACCTCCTCCTCTTCTTCCTGTCCTGCCCCCACAGGGGTCATGTGGCGTTGAGATCTGTGCGCCACGTCTACCGCACCCTGACCAGCCATTGTTAACAGCATTTGTTCCAGGACGTGCAACAGAGGAATGACGTCGTTCATCCCCATAGTCCTGCCGACTCACGAATAGCGTGGCCTCCTCAAAGGGCCTGAGCAAGCGGCAGGTGTCACGCATGAGCTGCCAATGGCTGACATCTAAGTTACACAGGGGAGTACCTTTATCCGCTTGTAACATCAGGAAATCGGTGATGGCCTTTCGCTGTTCGTAAAGGCGGTCTAACATATGTAGGGGTTGAATTCCACCTTGTTGCAACGTCGCAGATCAGGCGATGCTGTGGAATTCCGTTCTGCCGCTGCAGCTCAAGGAGGGTGTGCTTTGCGGTGTGTAGGAATGGCTGAAATGCATGCAAAGTTTACGTGACATTTTAAGGATGTCTTGCAGTGGGATGGTGGATTTTAGGAACCGCTTGACAACCAGATTGAACACGTGAGCCATGCATGGCGCATGGCACAACCTTCCTTGACGCAGAGCAGACACCATGTTCTTTCCGTTGTCGGTCAACATGGTTCCGATTTTCAGTTTGCGCGGAGACAGCCATCTGTCGATTTCTCTGTTTCATTACACTCAGAAGTTCCTCCCCTGTGTGACTACGTTCGCCAAGGCATACCAGGTGCAGCACAGCGTGACACCGTTGCGCCCTGCACATGTGATATGCCGGTCGGGTAATGGGACTTGGGACACTTGGCACGGGGGTGGCGGCTGAGGACACGGCGGAAGAAGAGGTGGTAGAGGCGGACATCTTTGCTGGACCAAGGACGTGCAAACGTGGAGGCAAAAGCGGCGTGACCTGTCCAAGTTGCTGGTGCGGCTGTGCCGGCACCACGTTCACCCAGTGGGCCGTAAATGACATGTACTGTCCCTGACCGTAGTTACAGCTCCACACGTCGGCGCTGCCGTGCACTTTGGCAGAGACCGACATGCTCAAAGACTGGCCCACCATCTCTTCTACATGTGAATGCAGGGCTGGCACTGCCTTTTTTGGCGAAGAAATGCCGGCTTGGCACTCTCCACCCGCGGCGCGGCACAAGCCATCATTTCTCGGAAAGGTGCTGAGTCCACCACTTGGAAAGGGAGGGACTGCAGCACCAGCAACTTGGACAGGAGGACGTTCAGCTTTTGCACCGTCGGGTGCGTGCTCGCAAACTGTTGTCTCTTGGAAACGGATTCCAAGAAAGACTGCTGACGGAATCCGTGAAGAGGAGTAGCAGGAGAAGGAGCACTGAACGAGCGGAAGATGCCAACGAGCGACAACTCCCCTCAGCAGAGGTGTTGGAGCCTTGACTGGCTGATAGAGGGCGATTGACGTCGGGTGACGGAGCAAGTAACGGAGCGGGTGATGGAGCGGGGGCTGGGGCAGGCAGAACCGCCGTATCTTTATCACGGTTTTCCCAGGCCACCAAATGGCGACGCTGCATATGCTGACGCAACGCTGTAGTCCCAACATGGGCCCCCTGGCCACGCTTGACTTTCTGGCCACATAGTCGACATACGGCTACGTTTACTTCCTCGGGCGGCTTGACGAAAAAATTGCCACACACGCCGAGTAGGAAACTTTGCCCCCGCTACTCCTCACTGGCTGACTGCTACTTCCTCCGTGCACACCGGCACCACTACTGGCCGTGGTGGTAGGCTGCAGTGGAGCTGGTGCTCTACTCCGTGGCCGTTTGCCTCCACTGACACTGCTGCGACCCTGCTGCCTCCTGGGCAACCCCACGACTGTTTTGCTCGCTGCCAAGCTGGCACCCTCTTCTCCTGATGATGCGGAAGCAATAGCCTGATGACGACGAGGCTGCCAAGTGCGATCAGCCTCATCATCATCAATTAGGGTCTCCGCCTCACTACTAGCCCCCTCGGCTGCGTGTGGGTCAGGAGACAGACCTGTCTCTAGACCGGCTACCGAGCCACTCTCCTCGCCAGTACTTCTTCGCCTGGCTGCTGAAGAGGCGGATGTCTCCCCCCGTTCCTGACCGCCCTCTGTTAGCTCTTCCTCACTGTACAGTGGGGCTGAGCCCACAGCATGCGATACTTCGCTTGGTGAGGGAACACCAAAGGACAGGGGCAGGTAGAGGACACGTGATTTCAGTGGGCTTGCTCCCGGGCCATGCCAACTAACGGTTGTGTCTGACGTACCCACCGACCGTTGGCTGTAGGTGTCAGAGGTGACCTGGGAAGAGGAAGACGACCGAGCCAACCAATCGATGACGGCAGGGTTGTCGGTGGAGACACGACCGCTGGATGACACCGGGAGCACTGGCCTCTGGCTGCGACTAGTGCTGCCTCGACCCCTTCCTCTGCTGCCACGTCTGCTCGCTCCTAAAACATTGCCTCCTCTGCCACTCCTCTGCATGTTGTCTGACATACTCTTTAATTCAACGATTCTGTGTCCCTGAGTAACAATTCTGTGTCCCTGAGTAACAATTCTGTGTCTGTCCTGAGTAACAATTCTGTGTCCCTGAGTAACAATTCTGTGTCCCTGAGTAACAATTCTGTGTCCCTCAGTAACAATTCTGTAACAATTCTGTGTCCCTCAGTAACAATTCTGTGTCCCTCAGTAACAATTCTGTGTCCCTGAGTAACAATTCTGTGTCCCTGAGTAACAATTCTGTGTCCCTCAGTAACAATTCTGTGTCCCTGAGTAACAATTCTGTGTCCCTCAGTAACAATTCTGTGTCCCTCAGTAACAATTCTGTGTCCCTCAGTAACAATTCTGTGTCTGTCCCTGAGTAACAATTCTGTGTCCCTGAGTAACAATTCTGTGTCCCTCAGTAACAATTCTGTGTCTGTCCCTGAGTAACAATTCTGTGTCTGTCCCTGAGTAACAATTCTGTGTCCCTGAGTAACAATTCTGTGTCCCTCAGTAACAATTCTGTGTAACAATTCTGTGTCCCCTGAGTAACAATTCTGTGTCCCTGAGTAACAATTCTGTGTCCCTGAGTAACAATTCTGTGTCCCTCAGTAACAATTCTGTGTCCCTGAGTAACAATTCTGTGTCCCTGAGTAACAATTCTGTGTCTGTCCCTCAGTAACAATTCTGTGTCCCTCAGTAACAATTCTGTGTCCCTCAGTAACAATTCTGTGTCTGTCCCTGAGTAACAATTCTGTGTCCCTCAGTAACAATTCTGTGTCCCTCAGTAACAATTCTGTGTCCCTCAGTAACAATTCTGTGTCTGTCCCTGAGTAACAATTCTGTGTCCCTCAGTAACAATTCTGTGTCCCTCAGTAACAATTCTGTGTCCCTCAGTAACAATTCTGTGTCCCTCAGTAAAAATTCTGTGTCCCCTGAGTAACAATTCTGTGTCCCTGAGTAACAATTTCTGTGTCCCTGAGTAACAATTCTGTGTCCCTGAGTAACAATTCTGTGTCCCTGAGTAACAATTCTGTGTCCCTCAGTAACAATTCTGTGTCCCTGAGTAACAATTCTGTGTCCCTCAGTAACAATTCTGTGTCCCTCAGTAACAATTCTGTGTCTGTCCCTGAGTAACAATTCTGTGTCCCCTGAGTAACAATTCTGTGTCCCTCAGTAACAATTCTGTGTCCCTCAGTAACAATTCTGTGTCCCTCAGTAACAATTCTGTGTCTGTCCCTGAGTAACAATTCTGTGTCCCTGAGTAACAATTCTGTGTCCCTCAGTAACAATTCTGTGTCCCTGAGTAACAATTCTGTGTCCCTCAGTAACAATTCTGTGTCCCTCAGTAACAATTCTGTGTCCCTCAGTAACAATTCTGTGTCTGTCCTGAGTAACAATTCTGTGTCTGTCCCTGAGTAACAATTCTGTGTCTGTCCCTGAGTAACAATTCTGTGTCTGTCCCTGAGTAAACAATTCTGTGTCCCTCAGTAACAATTCTGTGTCCCTCAGTAACAATTCTGTGTCT